GTGTGTGTGTGTGTGTGTGTGTGTGTGTGTGTGTGTGTGTGTGTGTGACAGAGAGCAGCGCAGTAGGGAAAAGATGTGGATCTCTAACTAATTCACTTGATTCTGTCAACTGATGTGACTGAAAGTGACCTTGAGCAAACCGTTGCCTGTTTCTGGAAGTGTTCTTTCACTTCAGGGTAGACACACTGGAGCGTGCCTGCAAGGGTTGACAAAGACATGTGCATTCCTCTGCCTCTGTGGAGTCCTGTTGCTGAGCATCCCTCGGGGGCACAGTTACAGCATTTTATGAGTCATGTTAATGCTGTCATCAACATTCCACCACTGCCGACTTCCCTCTGGCTTGAAAGTGCATGCTCTAAAGAACCAGTGTGGCTCCCTGGCAGGTGTACTCCACACTTTGCAGCCCCTGTTTGAGTAGACTGGATTCTTAGGCTCTCTTGTGGATGGTCAGCAGAGGCTAGTATCAAGTTCTACAAAGGGCTGTGTTCTGTGACTATAACCTCATTATCCATGTGTAAAGCTATGCTAGACCTGAGCTCAGTGAAGACTGCCCTGAATAAAACAAACAAGGCTGGGACCTGGTCGCTATGGAGATCAGCCCTCCAACAATCCCACTGGGAGCAGGATATTTTGTTTAAATAAGCAGATAGAAATGAGCTTCAGCTCCTCAACAAACTGAGTTAGAATATTCTGAATTTCTATTCTGGCATTTTAACCTTTCAGGGTTGTCTTTAGGAATTCAGAGAGCAAATGATCTTCAATACACTGTGTGTGAAAGAGATGGGGGTGGGTGAGTAGGAGGGAGGGGCAAGGTTGGGAGAAAGGGGGGAGGGAAAGAGAGAGAGAGAGAGAGAGAGAGAGAGAGAGAGAGAGAGAGAGGAAGAGAGAGAGTTTCTTACTATTGGCCCCAGTGATCTTGTTATCAGCATCATTTTGATGCTGAGAAGTTGAGGCTTTTTCTTTTATGTTATAGACCAAAGGTATCTCATTGAGAAGGTGACCGAGGAACTCTTGGAGCACATAGTTTTAAGCTAGCCCATGTAGCCAGTTCTGTCGCTTGATTCCTCTGTATGTTGTTGCCCTCATCTCTGAGATACCAGCAGTAGTTAACTTTTCGTTCCATCGTTCTTGCAAGGATTAGATCAAGTGTGGTGTTCAGACAGGTTTTGGCAACTCATGTGCTATAAATATATTGGTAATGTTTAATGTGTTAATGTCTGTGCTCCTACAATCACTGGCAGTGCTGCGAGGCCACAGCATCAGGCTACTGATGGAGGATGTGTCCAGGGCATGGTTAGGCATCAGCTATCTAGCCTGATCATGTCTGATCATCATTTGTAGAAGTAGTAAACAAGGCAGGATCTCAGGCCCTATGACCTTGAAACCCTGGGAGGAGGTGACCCAGGAACCTGAATCTTTAAACAGTACATAAGGTAATCCTACAGAACACTGTAATGTAAGAACTAAGGATCCATTGGTGTGTCCCAGAATATATTGGTTTACTCCAGAAGTAATCCCGAACACCTGTCTCCTCCCAGTGGTGGTTTGCCAAGGAAATCTGTGAAGCAGAAAGACACGCAGATGGACAGCCCACTGTGTTGTCATCAACCAAGCAAGAGGTGAAGACACACAGCCAACCTGAGTTTCGTAGGCCACACGAGAAGGCCAAGGGCTGAGAAGATTGCTAGTATTCGGCTTGCTCTTCTCTTTCCTGAGAAGCGAAACCACCTCCACACAGCATCAACACAGTTCTGATAAAACAGATAAAGAAGCCGAGACTTCTGGTGACTGTGAAGTCAATGAGTGGTGTGCTGGTAAATGCTTAACTGCAGGCTCAGATGATGATGATGATGGTGATGGGGAAGGGGCTGAGTTGTGGAATTTGCTTGTTTCTATGGTGTAAATGCTCTTAGCATGTTAGATTTCAACTATCAGCATGCTGCCTCTGAATGGAGCTGTAGAGGAGCTCCCAGAGCACTCTAGGAAGCTGGTAAGAAGTGGCCCCAGCACTCTACTGTGTACAGTTATCATTCCCCGCAATGGTTGTCAATGAGCATCTTTTGGGGTGCAGAGGAGAGAGAACATTGTTTCTCTTGCCTTCCCAGTGCTTTATATGAGCCCCCGCCCCTACTTGAAGCTATGTGAGGAGGGATAATTAGTGTGATGGGGAGACAAAATAGCTCCCTGGGGGAAGCTATCTGTGCTTGGCTTCTGTTAGACTGAGGGCTGGTCATGTGCACTCATTTCTGACCGTATCACCAGGCTCTGAGATACAGAGGAAGTGGTCACTTCAGGAGGTAGCATCTTATAGAAAGGGACGAGACTGAGGAAGCTCCGAAAGTTCTTACTTGGCTGTCCACCAAGTCCTTTTGAAACTGCAGAGTTTGAACTGGGGACAGGAGAGCCACAGTCCCCACATGTTTATCTGAGGATGGTTGGGGGCGGGGAGATTGAGACTGAGACCCTTTATATCCCGAGTTCCCATGATTCGGATCAAATCATGCCATGCCCTGTCCTCCCATTCTCTGGACAGTTCTCCCACATGCCTAATAAGCATTACTTATTTCTCATCAGCAATAACTTGCTTCTCACCCGATCCAGACAGCAGCAAACACTGAACACCACATGTACCCAATACCAGCCACATCAGAGCTGCTTCTGATGACTATGGATAGATACAGTGTTCTCATGACTGAAGGTATGCCCAAGGGACATCCCGGTGAGCCTCGAGTGTCCTTCCACCAAGTCTGAGAATGCAATTGAATGACTACAGAGTGATGGGCTGAAGCCTTGGGGACTCAATGTCCAGTAGGGCAGCAGCTGCCTGTGGACAGATGGGGGCAGAGATCTCAGGAGACATTTGGTCCTAATGCAAGAGAGAGCTGTGAATTACATTCTATTCTAGCAGAAGCCTAACCAAGCTCCCCATTTCCTCTTAGACAACAGCAACAAGCCCCGAGGCTGGGCAGCTATGGGACAGGTGAGCTGGGTCAAGGTCTGGTCAGCTAAGAGGGACCAAGTGGCACTGAGGCATGAGGGTGCCCAGGCATCCTTCTCATTTCTTAGATTCTTTTGACTCAGCCTGTCTCCTGCTCATATAGGGGATGGTGGAAGGGAAGAGGAGGAGGGGAGCCACAGGGAGCCAGTCACTCTGCAAGGGAGCCTGCAGGGCTCCTTCCTTCCAAGTGTATGTGTGTATGTGGTGAGTGTGTGTGTATGTGTGTGTGTGTGAGAGAGAGAGCGAGAGAGAGAGAGAGAGAGAGAGAGAGAGAGAGAGAGAGAATCAGAGGGATTTCCTTCGCAGAAGCAGCCAGTTTCCTGAGAGAAAGAAGAGAGAAAGGAGAAAGGGAGGGAGGAGAAGCAAGAGGGGAGGAAAAAATTGGAGGTGGGAGAGACAGACGGGGGAGGGGGAGCAGAAAGTGAGAGCACACTGGAGATTGAGCACAGAGGCAGAGAGAGGGAGACAGAGAGAAAGCCACAGAGCAGGAGGGTGTGTGGAGCAGAACCAGAGCTTAGAAGGACCCGGTGAGGGCGGGTGCGGGCAGAGGCAAAGCCTGTGACCACAGGCGCCTGCAATCCAGGATTCCAGGGTACCACAGGAGTTCAGCGTCGCACCGGGCGACTGGCCAAGAGGTGGTGCGGGGCTGGGGGTGACGGCTTTCCCAGGTGCTCGCCGGTGGTGAGGTGACCCAGAGTCCGAGTGGTTCCGCACCCAGGTGCTCGTCTGGGAGGTGGTGTGGGGCTCCGGGTGACTGCATCTTTAGGTGCTGGTCCAGAGGGTGGCGCGGGGTACTGGGTTGCTGGACGCTCTTCGGGTAGCCATGGCGACGGGGACCAGGGGTCTCTGGGCCGCCGCGACGCCGAGGGGCTGAGCCGGCAGCGGACTGCGCCATGGCGGCGCGGGGTTGCGGGCCCTGAGCGCCAGCTGGAGGCGCGCACCATGAACTCGTGGGACGCGGGCCTGGCGGGGCTGCTGGTGGGCACGATCGGCGTGTCGCTGCTGTCCAACGGGCTGGTGCTGCTCTGCCTCCTGCACAGCGCTGACATCCGCCGCCAGGCGCCCGCGCTCTTCACCCTCAACCTCACGTGTGGCAACCTGCTGTGCACCGTGGTCAACATGCCCCTCACGCTGGCTGGCGTCGTGGCACAGCGGCAACCGGCCGGGGATCGCCTGTGCCGACTGGCCGCCTTCCTCGACACCTTCTTGGCTGCCAACTCAATGCTCAGCATGGCTGCACTCAGCATCGACCGCTGGGTGGCTGTGGTCTTCCCGCTAAGCTACCGTGCCAAGATGCGCCTCCGCGATGCCGCGTTCATGGTGGCCTACACGTGGCTGCACGCGCTCACCTTCCCGGCCACTGCGCTCGCCCTGTCCTGGCTCGGCTTCCACCAGCTGTATGCCTCGTGTACCTTGTGCAGCCGGCGGCCCGAGGAGCGCCTGCGCTTTGCTGTCTTCACCAGCGCCTTCCATGCGCTCAGCTTCCTGCTCTCCTTCATCGTACTCTGCTTCACGTACCTCAAGGTGCTCAAGGTGGCCCGCTTCCATTGCAAGCGCATCGACGTGATCACCATGCAGACACTCGTGCTTTTAGTGGACATCCACCCCAGGTGAGAGGCCTGATTCAGGGCTCTGGGGACACTGTAGTGAGTTGGGAAGGTCCCAGTACCCAGGGTAGGGCTGTGGGAGAGTCCCCGTACACCTCACCGCATTAAGCAAGGCTGGGATGGCAGATGCTGTTTAAATGGTACCCAGAGCTTCACTTTCTGAAGCATCGAACTGAACTCTCAGCCAGAAATTCCTCCTTATCCTTATATTTATCCTGAGCAGTGGGCTTTGTTCACTGTGCTCGCTTGGAAAGGGTTTGGATATGGCCCTGAGAGGGCATATGGTAGGCTTAGACAATGCTTAAGAACTCTTCAGACTGCGGGTGTTACTCCTCTGGGTCCTTGTCAGTCTGGGCGCGGTGCTAACTTGATCTCTCCCTGTGTATGTACCTGAGTTCCCATCAAACAGAATCCACTGCACTTTCTCCCTGTGGTGGATCCTGAGGGCCTGGGCTTGTCTTGCCTCCCTAGGGGGCTCTGTTCTGTGTGTTCTGGACTTGGCGCCTCAAGGTCCCTTCAAGAATTTGTTCCTCAGACTCCTGAAACTAAGCCTGTCCACCCAACCCCTTCTTCTTGACCCACTACTTCTCGGGAGAAGACAGAAGGAGGCAGATGAAAGAACTGGCTGGGAACCTCTGTGGTCCTTAATGTCCCTCCAGGAGAGAAGGAGAGCACTGTCAATCAGGCTGTCCTGAGCTCACCTCATCTTTCCTTTTGAGACTAAGACATCGAGGGAGGGCGCTTCTGTGGTCTCTGCCGGTTTATTTACATTAAAAGCTGCCTCCCTCTCTGATGCCTGGGACTCCCGATAAGAGCTTGGGCGTCTACTTGGCACGTAAGATATCGTATACAGAGAGCACTGGTAATGAGATGTTATGGTTCTGTGTGTGAGCACAAGTCCAGGATTCAGGAAACCTTGGGGTATGTAGGAAAGAGTGTAGACCCCAGTGTGTATTTGCCCTAGAGGGCACAGCACACAAACAGAAGGTGTTGGTCTGAGCAAAGGCCCCTTGTGGGACTTCCTGGCCTTGGGCAATAAGAAACTGCTGAATTTCAGCATGCCTGCACATTGGAAGGGCATGGCTGAGTGTGTCTACCGTCCCCCTCTGAGCAGTCATTCCAGATGACAGGCTCCTCTAGTCTTCCCTACATAAAATCTTCCCCACAGCAACTCAAACAGAATGTGTTTGCATCCGCCCCCCACCCTCACCCATGTCTGTGCAGCTTAGAAGTCATTCCAGGGGAAGGTCAGCAGCCACACTTGCAGAAACATTCCTGTTCATCACCGTTCACTTTAGAAAGGGCCATCCCCAGGGCTGGGGCTGGGGCAGGTCCCGAGGATGCACGGAAATGTTAACTCTTGCAGACTTGAGCTGGTCCTAGAAAGCCAGTTCCCCGAGCCTCCCAGTGGAGGGAAAGGGAAGTGGAGCCCAGAGACTGGTTCTCTTAGAGTGAGGGAAAGCCCAATTTCTGCTCTTAATCCCCCAGAGGGGAGGGTAGAGGCCACTTTGCATTCTGGTGAGGGACAGGGGCTTCCTCTTCTTTTGCCTGTCTCCCTGACTTTAGGTCAGAACCACAGAGTATGTAGGGATCTCATAAGCAAAGACAGACACTGGGCTGGAATCCAGGTCAGTTTTGCAGAGAACCTTGACGTCCTTTGAGCCTCAGGCCAATTGGAGGAGGCCCTGCTTCTAGACCCTCCAGGGAGCTCCATCAGGGTCAGGTCACAGAGCCGCTGGCTCCTCGGTGAACACAAACTGTCCTTTCCAGGGGTCTCAAGCAGGAGTGTGGGAGGTGAATTCCACAGGAACACAACAGACAGTTTACTTCCCTGATAGCTGATCTGCTGGCTGTTACTTTGGTTGCACAGTGGAGAAGTCTCGGTCTTGCCTCTGAAGGCTGTGGTGGAATCCTGCCCCACTTCAGACTCTGACATCCTTTGGTGCCAAGAACCTATGCGGTCTTAGGGTGTCAGTTCCAGGACATTCTCCTGGACAGCTAGAGGAACAAGTGGAGTCTTAGCTCGCTGGAAGTCATCCCATCTAGTATCCACCACTTACCCCAGAATTTGGCTAAAGGAGACCTGCTTTGTGTTGCCTGGAGCCCAGGTACCATTTGTTAGGAAGCGACAAGAGGTAGCTTATTCTCCCACATGCTGAGTGGCAAGCTTTATCCCTTGGCTGCAACCATCACCTAAGCAGCAGGAAGCCTCTCTTTTCTAAATCTGAGGCCCGGAGTGGCATCTCCTATTTCTGTTGTTCTGTGGTCGATTTAGGAAGCAGGTTTCACTTTGCAGTGTTTGGTCCACATTCGGATCTCCACCTGCCCAGTGTCTGCTCTTCAGTTCTCCCAGCCGAAGCTCTAGGCAGGCTCTGGTTAGATCTCTTCGGCTGCTGCCAGGTACAGCCAAGCAGATCAGGCTCCGTGGCCCAGCATCACTGCCCTCTTTCTAGCCCAGACCAGGCTCACCCATGCCAGGTAGATGACCTCTTGGAGCTATGCTGCTAGTGGCAGAGTCTCTATGACAGAGTCTGAATGGGGACTTCCTCACAGTGTTACCAGGCTCTCTCCCTAACCCCTTAACATTCTGTGAACCTTGACCACAGGGGCTGCCTGAGGGCTAGTTCTGCAGGATGCCAGAGGTTGACCAAGGAGGTAGAATTGCACCGGGCCCTTGACTTTACAGAGGCAGAAGTCGATCCCAAAAGGATGGCATTTGATGAACTATAGAAAGTAGATTACACCCAGGGCCACACCCAAATCTGTCCTTGAGATTTGTAGAAGGAGCAACCAGATAGATGGAGGCTCACAAACTCTCTGTGAGGATGCTTAGAAGTTCTGCTTTAGCCTACAGATGGGTCTGTGGAATACATTCTAATCCCCCTGTCTTAACAGATATGTTTCCTGAAAGTTGGGCTCAAATTTAGAATTTACAGACTCAGTCGAGGCTAGCCTCATCTGGGCTAGAGAACACTAAGTGGTCCACTTGCATTACTTATCCATCCCTGACTCCACCCAGCAACACAGGTGCCTCTCTTGGGTCATGCACACATTGCAAGTCATACAGTCATGATTTATCTGCATGTGATGCTCCTTGGACCTTAAACCAAGTACATCTACAATGTAGTCCACCTTTGGGTGAGGACGAGAGGTCTGCGTGTGTCTTGGAAGCAGAATCAAGGTATTTGCACAAGGACTATGTGCCATAGAAAATTAGGGGTTTCTTCTAGAGTAGAAGGCGTAGGCTCCAGTTTTAATGTCCAGGACCTAGAGCAGGGACCATGCTTGGTAGATCTGAGAGGGGAACTAACACCAGCACCCTAACTGCAAATTCAGGGCTTCTTCTCACCATCAGTCATCTTGTCTCGTGGCTTAAAGACCAGAAAACCAATAGGGGCCAGGCTGTGAGGGCTCCAGGTGTGGGCTCTGGAAGGACAATGGACATCTCAGACCATCGAGGACCTGGAGAGCCATCTCAGAGACTTCTGAGGCCGCCTCCCCGCTTTCTGTTTAGATGCTTCCAGAATTGCTGTTACTGGAGTCTGCGGAATGCATCTTTTTGACCTCAGATGTCAAAATGCCAGAGCGCCTGCCCACTTTGGTCTCAAATCTTGTGACACTCTCCTCCTTCAACTCCGGGCTAGCACACATGTTCACACCACAATCGGGACTCCCTGAGTGAGTGTTGTACCTCATATTCTCTGTACCACAGACTCTGCCCAGGAGTCCAAGGACTCTGAGTGCCTCCACCAGACTAGGAGTGGCGGTGAGGATAAGGGGAACACTCTAGGGTCAGGTCAGGAGAACTGAGATGAGCCTTGGTTCTGTCCCAAACTGCCAGGATGTTTCTGGGGCATGTCCTAAACCACTCGGGTCCTCATCTGAGAATAAGCACAATAGCAGCCCACAGGCAGACAAGATTTTCAGGATCTCAGGGTTGCAAAGCCATGGGGAGGGAAATGACAACAGGAGGTTTTGTGATCCTATCATTGAGAGAGCTCAGTGAGCTGTCTCACACCTAAGTGATGGGGGCGCTCCGGCCACCACTGCACTGTTGCCCAGAAAACAGCAGAGCCCACGGAGGAAGGGCAGAGCTGGCTTTAGCCCTTTCCTTTACAATAGCTCAGGGAAGGAGTGGCACACCTCTAACTGGAACGCTGGGCTCATAGTCAATGCCCATGTGTCTGAAGCCCCACTTGTACCTGACTCCCAAGACAGGCAGGCCCTTCACTCCTGTAAGCCTCAGTTTCCCCATCTGTAAGCTTGGGTAGGCATATGTTGGAGAGTCTACTGTTACGTCCTAACAGCAACATGATCCTGGGGCAGAGTACCCTCTGCAGACACTCTCTGCGGTCTACTGGTGTGCCACATTAAAATCTGTGATGTCCCTGTGAGCCCCAAATGGGCCACAGAATCAACTCAGGACTCAATGTTCAGTTGCATGATGCTAATTCACAGCACCCCGGGCACGGTACCTAGCCATGGCTGCCTCTCCTATAGACATAGCATAGGGCAAGAAGGACTTTAATGGAAAGAGGAAATCCTGTGGCTTGGAGGTTCAAGGCAGAGGTGGAACATGGTATAGAGTTTTCCAGTGAGTATATATTGAGTTGAGAGTAGTTTGGTTAGCGCACACTAAGTGCTCGCAAGGTCAGTCACAGTTCTTGGTATTTTTCATATTTTAACTCAGGCACTCTCGGTGTGACCCTAAAAGGCAGGTCCTCTCCTCACCTTTCTTTCTAGAGATAAGGAATCTGATGTGCAAAAGCCGCCTCATAATTAAGTGTCTGGGTTTGAATCTGGAGGTCCAACCTTGGCGCTTCAAACCTAACCCCTAGCCAAGAAGCGAAGACCAAAGAAGACACGCAGCTGCAAAGGGGCAATGCAGCAGATCTCTGGGGATCTGTACAGCCTGGGGGAGTGACAGTGACAGCCCGTGACAGTCTTAGCCTTTCCTTCCTTCAGTCATGCAAGTGTCTGTCTCTCTCTGAAGACCCCCAATACCTTTATAGACATTAAGTTCCCCATGCTTTGAAGAAGAGAGAGTCTTCTATGGATAAGGAAGGGGCTGTAACCCCTCATCAGAAACTTGTCTCCTTGGGAAGCATAAGGAAGCTCCCTATCTCTCTGCCCTATTGCTCAGTGAGCCATGCCTATCCTCATAATGAACCGTAGGTCTGCTTATAGCTGCGGTGAAAGCCTCCTCCAAAAAGTGGGGACTCGCTCACAGAGGCTTGGTGACTTGCCTGAGGCCACAGTTAGGAGAGCAGGGCCTTCCTAAGGAAGTGCACCTAAGAGGGCTTTCACTCTTCAGCACCTGAGGGCTGACAACACTGTCACCCACTGAGGAGGACGGAAAGCAGGTGGTCTTATCTCCTCGCTGAGTTCTTTGTGTGAATTTGGCATGTTTATTTATTGGATGGCAGAGTGGTCCTCTGTTGTCATGGAAGAATGTTGTGTGATGGTTCAGGGTACTTGGCTGACACCCCAAATCTGCACACCACCATTCATTCATGGCAATCTGGAGCAGACAAAGCTCCGCTGTGAAGAGTAACTCTGAGCCTCCTGCATCTGCGCTCACCACTGGTATTCTTTGCCCTGGGTTGAGACTCCCAGATGGAGGGACCTTGGGTTTTAAATCAAGACAGCTGAGCTGGCCACGTCCCTATACCCAGATCTCCAACCACAAGTCACAGGAGCCCGTGAACCTTAGCAGAAAATGCTACAGAAATTTGCATGTGGTCAGAAAGTCTGGGGATTTGAGTTGAGCAGGACTCAGTGACGTCAGGCTCACCATATGCCAATCCATGGGACGACACAGATAGATTGTTTGTATAAGGGGAAGGGTGAGCTTGGTTCCAGACTCTGGTCTGGATTCAGTTCCTGTCATCATCTCCCAAACTGACTTGCCAGGGATGGAGAAGGGTACTCAGACATAGGATCCACTTCGGAAACCACCCCACAGAAACCACTGAGGATGGAATACTTTCAGTACTAAACAGAGGCAGGGCCTAACCAAATGCTACTTTACAGTTACCGCTTAGGAGCCTTGTGAACGCTGTGTGATCCTGAGCAAATATCTTAACTCTCTTGAGTCTCAATCTCTTCTCAAATATGAAGACTGTAATGACATCGTCCTTGGCTCCTAGACACACTGTATCAACTAAATAAATGCATGTGAAACCCCATCACGGAATCTAGCATGACACATGGCAGAGACTCAGACCATTATTAGTGGGTTTTTTTTTTTTTGGTTTTGGTTTTGGCTTTTCAAGACAGGGTTTCTTTGTAGCTTTGGAGCCTGTCCTGGAACTAGTTCTTGTAGACCAGGCTGGCCTCGAATTCAGAGAGATCCACCCACCTCTGTTTCCCAAGTCAAGTGCTGGGATTAAAGGCATGCGCCACGCCGCCCGGCAAGAGTGTTAATTATTATAAAGTAATTAGTACCGTTAGTTGTGAACAGCACATTTTCAGACAGTGGGAAACTTTGATTCCAAGCCCTAATCTGATTCCTAATTCCATAAATTTATATAAAGGCAGAAGGTCAAAAGGGGACCTGCAAGGATTCCAGATTCATCCATCCAAATTGTTCATATGAGAAGAAATCTATTGAGGAGAGACTTAGGGATTAAAACGCTCACTCTCCTAGATGCAGTGGGCGGCACTTGCTTTAACATTATCCTTGAATCCAGCTTAGGAACTTTCTCTCTACCACTTGCTTTCAAGGAGCAGGCCATCCTGTCTTCAGGAGCAAGTCACTGCAGCCCAAGCCAGGCTCTGCCAAGTTGGCTTGCGGGGCAGCACAGCCTCCAGTCACCCTCTCTGCTCACCTGTGTCCGTACTGGATGCTACAAGACAGAGTCAGGAGCCTGGAGCTGGTTTGTGTGCACAGCTGCTTTCCTGCGCCCCGTGCCCGTGATATCCTGATTTCTTTTGGTGAAAAGAAAGCAGTTCCTGGCAGGGCTTAGAGCAGAGTGGAGCAGGAACAGGGTGTGATTAGAGATATTGGTGGCTCTTGATCCCATCGTCGAAGCTACATCCTCAATGTCAAGTGGACTTGGCTGTCGCTTAGCTTCTCCCGTCTTAGTCCCTGGAGGAATCACACCAGGAACCGCACATGCCCACAACTAAGCTGGGTCTTCCTATGACTTATCTTATTGGATGCAATCAAGATAATTTCCCCCAGGTAAACACAAAGGTCCATCTCCCGGGTGGTTCTAGCTTCTGTCGGCTTGACAGCTAACACTAACCATCATAGTAGATGAGCCACGGAGGTAGGGACTGTAGCCCTCCAGGACTGCGCAGGAAAATCAGTGCATGATATAAGCAGTAACCCCATGAGTTCTTGTCTGTTTGTACTCATTGCATTATCCGTTTGCACACTGGATACATTTTCTGTATCTTTATGTATGATCACTGGTTTTAAATGTCAACTCGCCACAATCTAGAATTACCTGGGAAGAGCATTTCAGTGGAGGAATTATGGGCCTATATGTGGGGGATTGTCTTGACGAGTCTTTGACATAAGGGTAGCACCATTCCCCCTGCGGAGGGTTCTGAACTTGGGGCAGGAGAGAGCCGGCGGCGGCATAAGCGAGCAGGCAACATGGTTCCGTTTGCTTCTCTCTTCTCTGGATTGTAGGTGTAATGTGACTAGCTGCTTAAGTTTCTGCCTTCCACCAAATAATAGGCTGCATCATGGAAGTGTGAACCAGATAAACCCTATGTCTTTCCTGAGTTGCTTTTGGTCAGCATGTTTTTTATTGAAGAAACAAAGGAAAACAGAACACTGTTGTGCATTGTGCATTTAACTCTTCAAACAATCCAGCTAACATTATGTTTCATTGTCTATAAGAAAGCACATCAGTAAAACGTGGTGTGTGATATCACACTGCAAATAATGACCTTGTCAATGTCACACACCTAGACTGGGCCCTAGGTCTCTGGCTTCATAAGCACACACCTAGAATCCATTGTTTTTGTTCATGAGTAGCACCTCCCTGTGTCCTGGCCAGGCCACCCCGTGAATTACCTTCTCCTCTCTGTCCCACACAGTGTGAGGGAACGATGTCTGGAGGAACAGAAGCGGAGGCGACAGCGTGCCACCAAAAAGATCAGCACCTTCATAGGGACCTTCCTCGTGTGCTTTGCTCCCTACGTGATTACCAGGTGAGCTGACCTGTGGATGGGGACCAGGGCTTGGAGAGCCAGAGTGGGGCCCATCCTGGCCACATGTATCTCCTGAGAGCATGGCAGGATGAGGATGGACACTTAAATGCGTCTCGTCAGCCTCCGGCTCTCCCTTATCAATAACTAACATTTTGAAGACTGATTTTTATTTTTAATCATGTGTCTGCTGTGCCTGTGTTGGGTTATGGTACAGGTGAGTGCAGGCATCTGTAGAGGCCAAAAGAGAGTTTTCAATTCCCTGGAGCTGGAGTGTTTATAGGCGGTTGTGAGCTGCTGAGAACTGAACTCAGTCTTCTTAAGTAGTCGGAGCTTGTAGCCACTGAGCTATCTCTCTAGCCCCTTAACTAACATTTTTATTGCACTGGCTACCAATACCTTGTGATGATCCAATACGTGTGTACAATGGGTACCAATCAAGTTAGGGCAGTTGGCATGTCCTGTTCCTTTAACAGCTTTAACAGTTTTGATTATCCCATAATCACTGCACAAACCTATGAGGCACCACGCAAGATTATATTGCTCATATACAATGTGTGTTCATCAAATTGGGCTAATTTATTTTCCACCTTCCTGCCATTGCCATGTGTTCGGAGCCTCCAAGCCCCTCTCTGTTTATTATTTATAACACATGTTACAGGTTGTTGTGACGTGCAGTCCTCCACTAGGGTGGAGAATGGGAGGACCTGTGTCTGTTTTAATGCCCATTATCCACTCTCCCTCCATCTTCCCCTTCACCCCAGCTCCTGGGCATCACTGGTGCATCTTCTGACGGGCTTGTTAAGGTATGTTTTTATGAGAGAACAGGTGGCACCTGTCTGAGTTATTCCAGCGTGTCCTCTGGGTTCACCCATTTGTCCGAATGATATCCTGGTGTGTATCTATTCCGCATTTTCTTTATACGACCATTACGGTCCCCAGGTTGGTTTCTGTCTTAGTTGCTGTGAACAGTGTGTTAGTACACACAGCACACAATAAACACATTTCATTTCTTTTGGTCATATACCCAGACGTGGGCCAGCTGTTCCATATGGTGAATCTATTGGGTTTGGGGGAACCTTGGCATTGAGTTCCATAATCAGCCTTGGATTCTTATGTGTTAAACTCAGTACCCCACAGTGGAAGGCTCTTCACTCGATCTCCAGATAACTTCATTCTAACTCTTCACCCCACACCCACACACCATGAGGTGCTGACCAGAAGAAATGGGATGGGAGGGAAATACTGCATCGTGCAGGGTCCCACTGCTCACTGGGCTGGGTAGCCAGCCCCTGAGCGGTCTACTTCAGAGATACCAGCCACTTGCATAAAAGTAGATACTTCTCTCTGTGCCCTTCCAGAGCAGGCCACATCTCCTGCAGCTGTGCTGTTAGGCCAATGACTGTCAGTTATTCCCCTTCCCAGAGCGCCAAGAGCCAGGCTGGGCTGCAGTTCACCGCCCCGGGGACCCGCATTCCTCAGACTAGCCTGCTCCAGCTGTGACGGTTCCTCCTGCCAGTGTCAGTCAGAAAAAAAAAGGAGAAAAAGACAGATAGAAAGAAAAGGATTGCCTCCCCTCTCTCCCAAGCTCCTTTGTGGACTGGTGGGGATGGGTGGGGGTGGAATCCTGCAGCTTTCTATCCTAAGTAGTTCTATGATCTGTGCAGTTGGGAGATCACAAAGGACAGTGGTTCTGTTGAGACATGGAGGTGGGAGCTTTGATTGAGTATGGGAAACCATTTCCTCTTGTATGAGTGTGTGTGTGTGTGTGTGTGTGTGTGTGTGTGAGAGAGAGAGAGAGAGAGAGAGAGAGAGAGACAGAGAGAGACAGAGAGAGAGACAGAGAGAGACAGAGAGAGACAGAGAGAGAGAGACAGAGAGAGAGAGAGAGAAAGAAAGAGAACACAGCTAGTGCCACTGCAGGAGTGCAGATGGGCATCCCCTTTGCTGTAACCCAGCCTCCTGTTTCCTGTGAGGACAAGCCAACTGCGACAGTCCTCTCTGCTCTCCCCACCTGTCCTTACACAGCCCCCAGCATGGTTGTGTGCTCTTTCAATCATGACCTCCAGTTATTTCTTCAAGCCAAGAGATGGTCCTTTGCCCACAAGAACAAAAGACAGGCAGCTAGGGAGCCTTGATCGCCTCTCTAGCCCTCTCCTTTTTTCCTCAAACAGTCCAGGCCTAAGTACAGTGCCACACACTTCCTTCCACAGTATGTGTTTCCTCGTAGGGAGCCCCACTCAGCCTATCTCTCACTTTGAACACGAGACTTATATGTGGGTCCCTGGATGGTCTGACCACGGGCCAGGGCAGAGTCATCGATTTTTTTCCTCCTGGAACTGTGCACTAGGCCTCAGTACTATTGCTATGTTGCACATAGATGACTCTTGGCAAAGAGGGGCTGCCCTGGGCATTATAAGATGTATCAGGGGCTCCTCGGTTCTACCAGCTGGATACCAGGAACACCTCTATCCTCCCACCAATGTCCCCAGCTTGATAACCAAGTTTCCAGATATTGCTAAATGTTCTCTATGATCAGAAAGTCACCCGGGCTGGAAAAAAAAAAAAAAAAAGCTGTGGTCGAGACCCATACCCCAGCCAGAAAGCCAGAGCTAGCTTAGCTCAGGACTCTGCACAGACCTATCATAGAGAGACAGATAGGCCTCCTCAGCTCTACCCTCCTATAATACAAGTTTGGGCCAGTGTCCTCACCTTTCTGGGCCTCCAGAAAACACTGTGGAATCCTGAGGTTAAAGGATGCGGGGCACTGGAATGTGTGAGACAGACATGTCTGTATGGATTTTTGGGACATTATCCTTCCTTCCCATGACATCCTGAGACTGAAGGAGATCTAACTAGCCAGAGAATGCGGGTGAGAAAGAAAGTATACAGAGACCCTTCCTCTTAGACCTCAGGGAAAAGGGACTGAGGAGGTGAACTTGAATCCTCAGAGAAGAAGTAATGTGACTCCCACTGTTGGCAGGTAGGCTTTTCTCAAGCTTGATCTCATTTCCTAGTGTTGTCTGTCTGTCTGTCTGTCTGTCTATCATCTATCTATCTATCATCTATATGTCTGTCTATCTATCTTCTATGTCTATCATCTATTGATCGATTTATCTCTATCTCTTCCTTCCTCCCTTCTTCCCTCCCTCCCTCTCCATCTTCTATCTCTCTCTCCTTCTCTCTATATTCCTCTTTTTTATTATAGCTTATTTCCTTCTAATAGTGCTCAGACAACATTTCAGTCAGATTGTTAGCAGATTCAAATGGAGTTAAGGAGTTAATGTAATTGTGGTTAAAAAAATTAACAAAATTGTGCATCTTGCATGAGGATAAGCAACATTTCCATGGGAATAAAGGCCTCACCTCCTCCAGTATAGAACCTGTGTCAGGGTACTCCACTCCACCCCATTACCTTATCCAATATAGAACCTGGATCAGGGGATGTCATCCCACCCCATCACCTCCTCCAGCATAGAACCAGGATCAGGAACTCTACCCCATTACTTCCTTCCATATAGAACCTGGATCAGAGGCATCACCCCGCCTCATCACCTCCAGCATAGAACCTGGCTCAGAGGAGGCCACCCTACCCCATCACATCCTCCAGCATAGAACCTGGCTCAGAGGAGGCCACCCCACCCCATCGCCTCCTGCAGTATAGAACCTGGGTCAGGAGACTCCACCCCACCCCATTGCCTCCTCCAGCATAGAACCTGGGTCAGGGGACTCCACCCCACCCCATCACCTCCTGCAGTATAGAACCTGGCTCAGGGGAGGCCACCCCACCCCATCACCTCCTCCAGCATAGAACCTGGGTCAGGGGACTCACCCCACCCCATCACCTCCTCCAGCATGGAACCTGGGTCAGGGGACTCCACCCCACCCCATCACCTCCTCCAGCATGGAACCTAGGTCAGGGGACTCCACCCCACCCCACCACATTTTCCCAGTGTCTTCTCTGTGTGTATGCCGAACCACCCCATGCAAATCTTTGATGACAGCACTCATGTTCACCACCCATCACTTTGTCACGCATGTCTCCAGCACCTTCTCTTGAAGACTACAAAAGTTCCCCTGAAAATAAGGATGAATTGCAACAACCCCCAAGAGTCCCCTGGTAGAAACCTTGCCCTGCAAATAGAGCCTGTAGTTAGGCAGATCCCTGCCATCGGGCAGGCCCAGAATCCAGAGCTAAGAGACAGAAGGGAGCCTCCTGGCTAGGCTAGTGGACAAAGCTTGTGAAGCGTGGGTGTGAGGAGTAACAAGAGAAGCAGGAGAAACAGCACGAATTCCACCTAGGGTGGTGTTTTTAGCATGACAGCCACCACACACGGGCTGCTGTGGAGCACTTGAAATGTGACTTGTCCAAATTAAGGTGTACCTACTTCAGGTTTATAACGTCCAAGATTTAGTATGATTAAAAAAAAAGAATGCAATCAATTCTTCTCAAAGCAAGTCCCTAGTAGGATAGTAAGTACAATAAAATTTAAATTCGTCTGTTGCATGTGTACATACGTGTTCATATGTGTGTGTGTGTGTGTGTGTGTATGTAGGTTGTGAGTGTGTATGTGTGTGTAAACCAGGCTGTAGGTGTTGTTCAGGCATTGCCTGCATTTTCTGTTTTGTGAGAGCTCTTACGGGAGCCCAATCTATCTCTGTTTCACAGTCAAGCTGCTCCCCTGAGCTCTGGGTCAGTTAGACTCTTCCTGGAGTGAGCAGGCAGGGTCCAGGGCCGCTGCACATTCCTACCCACAGGCTTTTGGGTAATATTTTCTGAGTTAACATCCGCATGTCTTCAAGTGATTGTAAGCCTATCGTTTGCGTCGCAATCTATACTTACAAATAATTACAGTTGTCATAAATCATCAGGATCAGGTTTGGAGGCATTTGTGGATCTGATGGCCCCATTATTACAGCTTTCCCAGAGTAATGGGATGATGGAGGGGGGGGAGGGGTTAATGTGCAGGTGGCTCCCGACTGTTAGCGGTCTATTAATAAAT